GAGCGAGCGCCTGCCCCGCCACTCTCCCACCCGAGGGCCTGCCAGGGCACTTAAGCCCCTGGGGCGATGGTTTGGGTCCTACCCCCTTTTGCACCCTCTTTCTCTGAGCACCCGCTCCACCTCTGCCCCAGGGCACAGCCTTGAGCGCCCTTCTATCCCTTCTGTCAGCCCAGGCTCCGGAGCCCCGATGGGGCGCTCCCTCTCTCCGGTTCCCTCTCCACTCGCTGACGTCCGGGCTCTCCTTTCGCCTTTGGTCCTGCTTGGATGTTTCCGCTCTGTTTACCCTTTTTGACTGAGTTCTCTCCGACTTTTATCCTGTCTTGACCTTCTGGTCTCTATCTTACCACATTATTTTGCCCCTGTCTTCTCCAAGAAGATCCTTTCGCCCTCTCATTCACCCACTCTACCCCTTCCCAGGCTCCCCTCCCTCTCCCTGCCCTCCTGTTTCCACTCAAGGCACAATTTCTCCCCAGTGCTGGTGCTGGTTCCCCTTCCTCTCTCCCTCTGAAGCCCAGGCTTTACACCCACTGTTCAAGGTGCCCCTGTTTGGGCGAATAGGGGGAAGACTCCAGAGGAGAGAAAAAGGAAACGCCTAGATATGTTGGCCTGGTATTTCCTTGGGGGTCGAGAAATCTGGTCCTCCTAATTTCCTTCAGGAATCCCTTGATTTTCGCCTCTCCTTAATCATAAGTTAACACACTGGCAATAACCCTGAATTGGAGGTCGAGAGACCAGAAAACTGTGTCGAGTGCATTGCCCTGTTAGCAGGGAATTAGTTGACCTTGGGCAAGGTGCAGCTCCAGCAGCTGGCCTTGCACAGAAAAGGGGACTTGTTGGCTGTAGCTGTTCTTGGACTAACTGGAGTGTGCTGGGATTTACAACTTTTGCTTGTTAGTAAAGTAAAAAACTGTTTCCCCATTGACACTCCCCAGTACACATTTTTCGTTTGTGCCAGAATCTGGGAGAAAAATGTTGAATTGGTCTAAAGCTCTCAAGTGATCACTGGGATTCTAGGGACATTCTGGATGGAAAATGGCTTTGCCTGGAAGAAATAATAGTCCCCGTTTTATACCCCTTACTCCCTAGCCCTAATCTGGGTCCGGAGACTTGACCCTGTTCTGCATGCCCCTACACACACACACACACACACACACACACACACCCCTACCTTAGGACATAGAAAATGACAGAATTACGGGTGGAGACCAGGTATACATTTTTTGATGGAGAAACCTGGAAAGTATCCAAAATAATGTACATTTCTTGGGATTCCCTTCTGTGGAACCCTTGCCTCCCATACCAGAAATTAAGACTTTACTTGGCTTTACAGGATTTTGAAGCACTTTCTCAGCTCAGACCTGCCCTCCAAAAAGAAAGCCATATCCATCCTGATGAACGGGAAGTAACTGTTGAAATAGGTGTGCTATTTTTAATAGGTGTTCTGCTTTCAAAGTGCTCTTGGCGTGTATCTTCTAATGGTTGGATTTTAAAGTTATATGACTTCCTCCCTTCTTGCCAGAGCAGGACTCTTGGTCCTCCTCGCCCCACCCTCCACACAAAACACCACTGGTGAAGGTTTGGTTTGGCCAAGTCTGAATGTTCTCAGGTGGCGGGGTGCAGTGCTTGGCTCTCACAGTGAAAGCTGGTCATAATGAGAGCTTCTCTTCATCGCCCACTTCCTCTGTGCCTGGCAGTGCCCTCAGGGCTCAGTACATATACATCATGTCTTTTATCCCTCCCAGCCCGCCGACCCCGCTCTCACTTCCATTTGAGGAAACTGAGTCTGTGGGGAGTGAAATGATTCAGTCCAGATCTTTCATCTAAAACACGGCAATGCCAAGCTTTGAATGTGGGTTTTTCAGCTTCCTTTCCCACCCCTCCCTGTTTCTGTCTGTGCCAGCCCTGGCTCTCCTCTGCTGCCTTCGGCCTCACTGCTTGGCCTGTCTTCTCTCCCCCTGCAGCAGAGGGACCTGAACTCCTTCCTGTGGACCATACGGCGCCATCCTCCAGCTTACCTATTTGGCACCATCCATGTCCCTTATACCCGCGTCTGGGATTTCATCCCCGACAACTCCAAGGCAGCCTTCCAGACCAGTGCCCGTGTCTACTTTGAGCTGGACCTGACGGACCCCTACACTGTCTCAGCTCTGGCCAGCTGCCAGCTGCTGCCCCCTGGGGAGAACCTGCAGGATGTGCTGCCCCAGGAACTCTACTGGCGCCTGAAGCGCCACCTAGACTATGTGAAGTTGATGATGCCTTCCTGGATGACGCCTGCACAGCGGGGAAAAGGGCTGTATGCTGACTACCTGTTCAACGCTATCGCAGGCAACTGGGAGCGTAAGAGGCCCGTGTGGGTGATGCTTATGGTGAACTCACTCACGGAGACGGATGTGCGTTCCCGAGGCGTGCCTGTGCTGGACCTCTACCTGGCCCAGCAGGCTGAGAAGATGAAGAAGAGCACTGGTGCTGTGGAGCGCGTGGAGGAGCAGTGCCACCCGCTCAATGGGCTCAACTTCTCTCAGGTAGGCAACATGTGGTGGCAGCCTGGAAAGCCTGGCACCTTTCTCTTCTCTGATTATTGTCGCCTTCCTCCAGTAGGCAGCTGGAACAGGTCCTTTCTCCAAAGGGAGAGGTCCTTTCTGGCCCAGGGCACCAGTTGGGCTGTTTTGGTAGGGTGAAGGGAAACTGGTATGTGCTAGGATTTGATGTAAGAGTTTAGATGTTTGCTTCTATTTCAGTGGTTTCCTGTTGGGATATTCACTTTCCACCTGCTGTGCTCGCCTGAGCAGAAAGAATTTTCTTGGGAGCATCAGAGTGATCCAAAACTAGAAGGGAGTTGCCAGTCTGTGTCGGGCCATGCAGGGCTCTGTTGTTTTGGAAGCAGGAGGCTCTCGTGAGGCTGTTGTGTGGACCTGCACCCTGGGCTATGGGTCTGTAGGAAGAGGGCCTGGGGATGGATGTGGTGTCTCAGCTAGGCTGACAGAGGAGGTGTCCTGAATTTGGCCTCTGCAAGCACTGGTTTGCCATTTCGGGTTAAGAGCTGCAGAGTTCTCTGGGCTTTGCTAAGCTGTGACCCTCGGACAGCCTCCCTAAGACCGAGAGAAAGTTAGCAAGGAGACTTTGGGGGTTAATAATTTCAGAGAAATGTGTTTGCTTAAAGGTTGACAGTTCTGATTTCTGAACCTCAGAAGTGGGGGCAGGGAAAGGGGAGGGGTTTAAGAGGTTTAAAGTCTCTGGCTGCAAGAGACCTGAACCAGCAAAATGTCATTAAAAGCCTGTCTCCATGGGCAGAGGTCACTCCCAACTCACTGGCCCCAAACTCAACTCTGAGGCCCTGGGAACAATGAGTTCACATCTGTGCCTTGAGAACAGGACTGTCAATCCCTGGTGGGGGCTCCCAGGCCTCTGAGTGAGGCAAGGTCCTGAGACAAGCCTGCTCCCCATTAAGAAGACAGCCCCACAAAATGACCAGGCCAGGAACCCTCCCGCCAGAATCAGAATCAGACCTGCCTGCTGCTCCTGAGATGTTGCAGCCTCTTCACCAGGGAAACCGTGGCAGAAACTGATCCCCTTTCCGGGATCTCTGGCCTTTGTTTTTCCAGGGGAAATGCAATATTGTCCCCAGGGAGGTAAGAAGGCAGATTGACTTGCCGGCCAAATGAAAGGAGGGTTTGTCGGTTCTCCTGCTGGCTCTCCCATAATTGTGGAGTCCTTACCCAGAGGGCCCCAGGGGCAGGAATATTGGGGCAGTTAGTCACGCCCCGCAGGGTTCTGACTATGCCTGACTCCTTCTCCATGGGGGAAAATCCTGCGTATTCTCTGGCCTGGTGCTGATTCCTCTGAACATAGCGGCTCTCTCCCTCTGAAGTGACTTTTCCCTTGCCAGCCTTGGGAGCTGATATTATCTGGGGTAGGGGGAGTGCTCACCGCCCATCTCATTTTGGAGGCAGGTTTGTGGGGGGCCTCTCTGATCAGAGGCCTCATGTCTAGCCTCGATATCTTTTTTAGGTTGGAGAGGTGGGGGATCCAGCATCACTCTCAACACCCTCTTTGTACCAACCACAGAGGAATCCGACAAGGGCTGAAGGGAGCACTCGAGCTCTAGTTAAACAGCCCCTGGCTTTAATCTGTCTCTCTTAAAACAACAAAACTATCTTTCTTCGGAGTCTGGAAATGCTGCTGTTCAACCAAATGAGGGCTCTGGTAGGGTGAAAATATTTGCTGGAAAGTGTGTGAGGTTATGTTCTAGGAAAAGTTCCTCAGAGCCATTCATCGGCCAGCAAGGAGCCCGCTGACAGTCTCCAAAGCCCACGTTTGAAGATCAAACAGACTCTGATTTCTGTTTTTAAAATGCACCCGCCCCATCACCAGCCTGGGCCAGTTCTTCGCATTGTTCTTGGGCCTAACTCCACGAAAGGGCTACAGAAAGCAAATCCTGAACAAAAGAAAACAGTACTCCTCTTGGTTTTCCTTAATCTACAGACCCTTCACCACCTGCTGGAACGTCTGACTGCACCAATTTGTCCTGTTATCATTTTGGAGGGAGGTGATGAAATCCCTCTTCCAAGCCCTTGGGCAGCCTTGGACTAACCGAACAGGGTGGAATTCCAGAACCTGGGTAGATGGGTTGTTAAGGATCCCAAAACCCAAAGTCAGAAATGCAACAGCCTTCTCAGTAAAATTGCATGCGCGTATGCACTGTTTGATATGAACATCTGTGATACATTATTGTACTGAAATATCTGCTAAGTGCATCAGATTTTTATTTTTTCTTTCCTTGAAGCATTACTATTATTGCAAAATATTTGGGTCGGCGGGTAGTGAGAGGAAGGCAAAAGAGGGAGGCTTAAAATAATGCCTTTTTGTTACGGCCTAGAAGTTTAGTTTTAATTTTGGTGTTTTAAAATTTATATGTATATATATTTTTTTCTGGACAGAAGTACCGCATTTTTACTTGTTAAGCAGTGAAAGACAACTTAAATTTAGGACTTCAGAGGCTGGAGGAGCCACTGAAGAGGCTGGAAGACTGATAACTGTGCAGCTTTCCCAACTTGTAAGATCAAATCTATTGACAAGTTATGATCTTTGATTTAAAAAAATAAACTGAAGGTGCTAGACCCAGCATCAACATGACTTTGCCTTGTGACCTTGGGCAAGTCAGTTCCTCTCTTTAGACCCTGTTTTCTCCGCTTGTGAAATGAGACACCAGGATTAGGTCATCTTTCCAGCCTTTTCCAGCCCTTACATTCCATAGGATGATTCTAATCAATTCCACGCAGAGAGCACCCTGCAGGAAGCTCTTCATATACTGAATTCTCACAGCAACCTAATGACTCAGGTGGGCACACAGAAAGGTTGGGCATGCAGAAAGGTTGGATGACTTGCCCAAGGTCGCATGACTAATAAGGAACAGAGCCAGTCTGCTGGACTCTAAATAAAGGATGTGCTCTTCCTGCCATCGTAAGTTCTTTCTCCAGACTTTCTCCTATTTAGTATCCTCCTGCAATTCTTCCTTTACTTCTTTCTTCTGTTTTCTGTCTCCTTCTAGGGTTGAAGACTTAACATGTTATATCTTGGCAAATTTGTACTTGTAGAGAAATTATTTCCTTTGACTATGAGGCTGGAGTGGGGGTGGCAAAGGGAGGTCTCTAAAGTTCTTCCTGATGTGTAGCAGACAGCTCAGCATGGTGGGCTGGAGATAGGAGAGTTGTCCCTAGTCTTGGGCAAGACTTAGTATCCCCATCTATCTAGTGGAGCAGTAGTTACCAGCTTCCAAAGCTGAGCTGATATTGGGAGGACATGGAGGACATGGAAGGTTGTTGGGTTGAATGACTACCTGCATGCTGCTTCTGTGCTGAGCAAAGTGTCTAAGCCAACTCCAAGGCAGGGGTAGGGGAGAGGAAAGGCACAGGAAAAGCAAATGTGACCTTCCAGTAGCCGTATCCACTGCCCAACCTTTGCTGAACAAAATGAAGTTAGAGTATTAAAGAGATGGTGGTGAGCCCCTGCAGTTGTGAGTCTGGGATGCCTGGGCCTTGAATCTAAATCTTATGACAGACATTCTTGAGACTGTAGATTCCTAAATCAGCTCTGCCTGCTGCCTCGAGGGATTGTATTGGCTGCACTGTTCCCTCTGGGGAGTCTTAGTCCTAACCCACTCCATCCCTGTACAGTGAAGGCACTGGATAAGAAAACTTCTAAATTATATGGTTCTCCAAAGTCTAAGAAAACAAGTACCCTGCAAGTCTGCATTTTGCTGTTTAAACCAACAGGGCATAGAACCTAAACACTGGGGCACGCCTGCCAAGGGTGTCAAAAATATTTGCAAAGTTTTACAAGTCCTTCACTGGAGAGTAGGAAACCACAAAATCATTTAGTGGGCTTTGTCTCTGTGTAGGGTGCTGCATTAAATGTTGCACATATATATCTCTAATCCTCATGGAAATGCTACATAGTATATTGTCACATATATTTTAAAGATATAAACTGAGACTTGACAAGATTAGGTCATTTGGCTATGATTTCATAGACAGACCAAGTGGCCTCTCGATTCAGACTCAGGTGTGTCCATTGCTAAAGCCTAAGCTCCTTAAGCACCTGAGAGATAGTTTTTATTTTGGTTTTTAATAATCAGATGTCATTATATGATCAGTTGTGGGAAGGGAACTAGAGCAGGGAGGTGTCTTCATTTATTGCTGAAAAAGGCATAATAGAGAAAGAGATAATTTAAAAGTACTAAACCTGACTTTTACCCTGGCTTATAAATTGGATTTGAAGGTAATTCTAGAACAGGAGTTTCCAAAGACATTCTGGGCCTCCCTAGAAGGTACCCAGCTGCCTCCCTAGAATGTTCTCAGCTTTCCAGGGGACCACTGTGAAGATCTCCCCCACCCCAGATAGGCTAAGCTCGCACAGTTGAATAAAGAGAGGCCTCCTCAGTTTAGAATCAGAGCTTCTATATCTATACCAGAGGGTCAGCAAGTATTAGTAAGTATATAGGAAATATTTGCAGAATGAATGAATGAACATTTGTCAGGAACCATGATAAGACCATCTCGCACTGTTGTATGCTACAGTGAGGAGTCACCTTCTTGAACTTAAATAGCTTCCTGCCTTCTTACAAGGACACAAAATACCCAAATCATCAAATGGATTGTCTTAGTTCACCTGGGGAGCTATAACAAAATACCTTACTCTAGGTAATTTATAAACAATAGACATTTATTTCTCACAGTTCTGGAGACTGAGAAGTCCAAGATCAAGGTGCCAGCAGATGGGTGTCTGGTGAGGGCCTGTTTCTCATAGGTGGGCCTGGTCTGTACCCTCACATGGCAGAAGGGGAAAAGGATGAACTAGCTGCTTCTGTCCTCTTTGTCAGGGCACTAATTCCTGAGGACTCTGCTCCCAGAGGCCCCCCTATCTTTTAACACCATCACCTTGGGGTTACATGTCAACCTGTGAACTCTGGAGGGACATACACATTTACACCACAGTATGAAGTTCAGATTAAAGGCAGACAGTA